CAGTGGTCTTTGCATACCTCTTCCTGCGGAGCCCTCCTGTCTTGGGGCAGATGGTTTTCCCTCTGTGCAGGAAAGAGTCCAGGCTTTGGATGCGGTCCTTGGCAGGCAGCTCCATCACGAGGGACATGTCTGGAGCGAGAAAGGGCATTGCCTGGCCAAGCCAGGGCTGCTGCTTGCGTGACCCAGACATGCAGTAGCAGCCGGTTTCACAGTGCTCTGACTCAGACATAGCCAAATTCCCGTTTACAGGAATGGGAAGGGGGCCCTGCCCTGGCTGAGGGGCAAAATGTGTGTCCTTAAGGCGCAAACAGAAATGCCTTGGGGAGTGGGAGCATTCAGAATTGAGTCAGTAGGTTGCTGAGCTGCAGAGGGGCAGTTGCTTGCTCCAACCTTTGAATGGCTTGAGAGCAGCAACAAGAGCAGCCACGGAGCTGCTGCTGTCCTGTGCTGTCGGGTGCTGTGATACCAGCCCCAGGGAATGGGCCATGTGGTTCTGCCATGGTTTGGTGCTGTTCTGGCTTTAATCTAACCCAGGGAGCTGCTTGTCCTCTGTTTCTCCCAGGTTTTTAAGCAGGAGATGACTAATGCCTTGGCTCTTTCAATGAACATTTACGTAGAGAGAGGAAAGAAAGACTAAACCAGCATGTCTCCCACCCACAGAATCCGATAATAAGTAGCATTTAGAGCGCTCTGGCTTTCATTGCGCTCTGCAAGCATTCACTAACTTGCTGGCACAGGGTGTCAAAGGCTCAGGGTCGCTTTTGGGGACCTGTGTTGGTTTTGAGTTGAGGCAGATATTTTTGTAGCAGCAGCGTTTCAGGCAGAGAGGAGGGTGATCAGGTCTCATTCTTTTGATGTCAGCTGATTGCTGCAGGGATCTGAAAGGCATCCAGCCTTCCTGCCCCCCTCCTTCTCTGCTCCCTGCTTCTGCCAGTGTGAATGCGACACCAAGGACACCTCTGCTTTCTAAATGGAGTCCAAGCATCCTCGGATTCACATGATGTAAGTGACCTGACACGACCCTGTTGCCTCCTCTCTTGGACAGATATTTCTCTGGGACCCAGCCACTGGCAGTCAGATCGGCCGGGTGCTCTCTGGCCACTCCAAATGGATCACGTGTCTGTGCTGGGAACCGCTCCACATGTAAGTGAAGGGCCAGCCCAGCCCTTCCCTTTTACTCATATGGAAAAGAGCAGCCTGACCTGAAGAGCACTGCTCCTGTTCGCCTTTCTCCTGTTCCAGAAGAAGGGCTGTGTGCAGGAGAACAGCCCCAAGGGTGGGCCAGGAAAAACGTGTTTATGTCAGAGCCAGGAGTCCCAGCTGCTGCTCATAGTCCCATAAGGTTGTTGGGAAGTCACTGCCGGGCTGTGCCTCTTTTCCCTTGTATAGATACACCTGCCTATGGAAAACAGTGCTTGTATGGTGCTGGATGAACATTTGATCTGCTGAGCTGGGAGCAGGAAAGCTACCCGTGTGATGCCCAAGTTCAGGCTCTGCAGAGTGCTCCCTGTCGCTCTCCTGCATCCTGGTTGCCTCTGTCATCTTGTTTATTTATCATGAGGGCTGATTAACTGTGCAACCCCCTTATCCCTTTATTCAGCTAAAGCTCTGTCTAGGAGAGATGGGTGGAGGGGGCCAGTCGTATCCCATAATCAAAGACATGATAGAAATAAATAAATAAATAGAGAAAGAGCCCCTTCAGAGCAGAGCCATGCAAATTGAATTTGCCAGTAGGAAACTCCAGCTATTTGTAAACAGTTAACTGAATTAGCAAAAACTGATTATAAAGAAAGAGGAGGAAATGGAGAGAAGGGAGATGACCCTGCCAGGGCTCCGTGTCTCATTCTCCAGCCAGCTGTGCTCCCTGCTCAGTTGCTGTGCAGCAGGAGGGGCCATGCTCTTCCTCACTGCTGCTGGTGCCAGGGACCACTTCGATGTTAAAACCGCGCTGAGTGTTAAAGATGTTGTGCAAAGGACAGGACAGAGGCTGTGGCTTCTTCCTCTCTCCTTGCAGGGTTGTGGCCAGCTGCTTCCAGATGTGTTAGATTTGCCCCCCTGAGCCACGTGGATGGACTTTGCTGCTTTCAGCCCTGCCAGCACAGCGTCATTCTGTGTCCACAGGCTGGAATGTTTCCTGCTGTAAGCAAAGCATGGCATAGGCAGGGTAGCATTCAGTGTGTTCCCATTGCTGCCCATCTGCATTGATCCCCCTGCTCAGGGCTCTCCCCAGCCAGTGCCCAGGAAGGTGCCAGTTTGTGGTCCCCTCATTAGCCAATGGGCTAACGCTCTGGAAACAAGGTTATTGCCCAGGTCTCAGGTGCCGGGTTTACCCTGATTGATGCCTCCAGTGTGCAGCCCAGTCAATTTGGAGGGAAGCATTTTTCTACCTCTCCCCTGCCTTGCGGGATCTTGTTCTCTAGGTCAGCATTCTGCCCCTACCCAGCCTCTCCCTGATCTTAAGCCAAAAGAGAAAGTTGTCTTTTACTGACTTCTGGACTCTTAAATCCTCTGGGGCTGATGGTGGAGAACCTGTGTGCACTGCACAAATGGATTTGATCTTTCTTTCAAGAAACCCGGAGTGCCGCTACCTGGCAAGTGCCTCCAAGGATGGCAGCATCCGCATCTGGGACACACTGATGGGCAGGTGTGACAAGATCCTCACGAGCCACACGCAGTCGGTGACATGTGTGAAGTGGGGAGGTGATGGCTTGCTTTACTCCTCTTCCCAGGACAGGACCATCAAAGTCTGGAGGAGCCAGGACGTAAGTGAGGCAGGCAGTCCTGGAGCTGGACACACTGTATTGTAGCTTTATCTGCTTTTCCTGGCACAGCTTGTGCCCCGAAAATGGAGGTGCAGATTGGGTGCTGTATCCCCTTAACCTGTCACAACCTGTTGCTTGAAACCATTTGGAAGGGTAGCTGTTGTGCAGTGTTTTCATCCCTAGAAGTATAAAATGGGGCTAAAAGCTAGAAATATCCCTGAGTGACCTGTGCTGGTGGGTGCCTTGCAAGGCCCTGAAGGAAACTGGTTCCTGAAGCTCAACAGTGACATTCCTACCTGCTAAGGTTACAGTCCTGCCTGCAGCTTGGGGTTTGGAAAGTTTAGGGTTGGTCCTTGCAGCCCAGTGGGTTTGGAGGATGCTGCCCGGTCTGGCTCTGTCCTGCCCATCCCTCTGAGCGGTGGTTTTGTTTGCAGGGGGTCCTCTGCCGCACCTTGCAGGGCCACGCTCACTGGGTGAACACCATGGCCCTTAGCACTGACTACGTGCTGCGCACGGGGGCCTTTGAACCTGCTGAGGCCACCATCAACCCACAGGATGTACGTGGCTCCTGTAAGTGCAGCTCCTGCCTTGTGGGCGGGGGGAAGTGGTGAGGAGGATACAGAAGAGACCTGATGTCTCTTCTTAATGCTGCCACAAGCCAAAGCAATCTTGAGAGATGGGAACAGGTCCTGTGCTGGTGACAGCGATGGTCTTCCTGGCCCATGCACAGGGTCGAGCAGTCTGGGGGATGGAAGGCCACTCTGTTTTCAAGGGTTTTTGCTCCCACTGTTGCCCTTGGCAAAGAGAATGTGAGTGACCAATCACACAGTGTGCTTGGCCCACAGAGGCAGGATTGGAATTGGCATCACAGGGTTATAAAGTTTCTTTTCACCTAAGGGTTGCAAATCTCTCTTTTCCCCCATGTGCCTCTTTTAGTGGCAGAACTGAAGGACAAGGCACAGCAGAGGTATGACCAAGTCAGGGTAAGTCCCTTTTGTCCCTACTGTCATTTCTAACACTATTACTTGTGGAAGCAGTAAACATGCACAGTTGGCTGTTGACTCCAATGCTTATGTGCTTGAAGGTCTCCATGCCTGGCTTGTACAAGACTCGGGCTCTTTCATCCCTTTCTCAGGGCCAAGAACCAGAAAGGCTAGTCTCGGGGTCAGATGATTTCACACTGTTTCTTTGGAGACCAGCAGAAGACAAGAAGCCACTGGAGAGAATGACAGGCCACCAGGCTCTCATTAACCAAGTCCTCTTCTCACCAGACACCAGGATAATAGCTAGTGCTTCCTTCGACAAGTCCATAAAGCTCTGGGATGGCAGGACAGGAAAGTGAGTTGGTTTGTTCTGTTACAGAGGTGGTACTTGTGTGGGGTCTATGTGTAACGTGCAGGTCGGATCTTTAGGGCAGGCGCAGCTGCGGTTGGATGGGATGTTCCACTCGGCTGATCTCCTGAAGACATGTGTGTTGCACACTGCAGACTGACCCAGTTTACACAGTTCCTGTGCCAGAAAACAGCTTGTTCTGGACAATGCAAATTCTTGTTGATACAAGTGGTGCTGTTGGTGTTTGGATGCTCCTACTAGCATCCAAAGTAGTCCAGCTTTTTACCTTCAGCTAGAGTATTGATGAGCTGTTTGGGGCAGCCTTTCCTGTAAATCAGTCTTTATTCTGATGGGTTTGTGTTTCATGTGAGTAATTTTAATGGTCCTCCTAAATCCAGATTGCTCAGCCAGAGAGAGGAAGGACACATCTGTACAGCAAGGCTGTAGTGTTGTCTGCTGGATAAGGGATTCCTGACAGAAGAGTTGAGATGAAGAGCCATCTAGGAGGCTCTGAGCCCATCTGGGATGGTTTTTAGACAGACTGAACCACCTATGGACTCTCTATAGCAATTGACTGCCTTGTGCATGCTGGTTTGGGGTGTGCTGGGCATCCCATGACTCTGCTTGCTTGGCAGAGAAGAAACATGAAGGCTGGGCAAGGGCTGGTTTGGAACAAACCCAGCTGCCTCCTCCTCTGACAGCCTCTTCCTGCCTTCTCCACACCAGGTACCTGACATCGCTGCGAGGGCATGTCTCAGCTGTGTATCAGATCGCCTGGTCAGCCGACAGCCGCTTGCTGGTGAGCGGGAGCAGTGACAGCACGCTCAAGGTCTGGGATGCCAAGATGAAGAAACTGGCCATTGATCTTCCTGGCCATGCAGATGAGGTAAGGTGTAGGGCTGAGGCGTTTGAGAGGGGCAGGAATGACCCGTCCTTCCAGCAGAGGTAACACTGTCCTTGTCTAATACTAGGTGTATGCAACGGATTGGAGCCCGGATGGACAGAGGGTAGCAAGTGGAGGGAAGGACAAGTGTTTGCGGATGTAAGTAACCTGTTGTCTGTCCGTAGAAGATGTTGCAGGTACTCCATGTGTCCTTCAGAGATGCAGTCTCCTTGCAGAGACCTGTGTGGTTAGGGCACGATCTCTCTTTGCAGTGAGCAGAACACAGGGCCAAATTCCAGCCTGGAGACCTGACCTCCCTGAGGGCAGGAACTGCTGCTCTCCCCTGGGAGATGACTAGAAAGCAGAGTCCCTCCAGCTGAGCAGTCAGTGGTGAAATTTGACTCTCATGTCTGTTTTGGCTCCTGGAGAGGGGAAGGAACAGTTGTACCAGTTGGTCAGACCCTTCATTTCTCACCTTCCTCCCGTCTCGCGGTTATGCAGACAGACAAATTCCTGTGAGCTGGTTGCCATTTGACCATGGCTGATAAAGGAACCCAGGCACCTGCTGTGCTGATGAAGGAACCCAGTACCTGCTCACCATGTGGCAGTGCTGGTGCTGGACCACAGCGATACAACAGCTCTTTCTGTTTGCAGATGGCGTCGCTAGGAGCGGTGACACAAAGCTGCGGTCCCATCCTAAGCTGGGCTGCCCTTGGTGCAGGCTGGGAGATCCACAAGGTGATGGATGACAGAGGCTGACCCGAGCACGACTCCCCATTCCTGTTGGCTACTCTTCCTCACGGACTCTTTCCTTATATTTATTTAAGGAAATTTTAATTCTAGTTCTCATTAAGAGCTGTGTTTTGCAGGATGATTTCCTCTGAGCATTACAGGAGGGATATCTCATCTGACTCCATCTCAACTGGCTTTTTATTGAAATTTCATGTTTACGGTAGCCTGCTGCCTTGAAAGCCACGAGCAAAGGGTGGGGATGGCTCCTGCCCCTTCTCACTCTGAAGAATCCTGCATAGAAAAAGCTTTTAGTGCAACAGACAGGGTTGTCCTTGTGCGACCTTCAGAGAGGGAGAAAGGAAGGGGAAAATTCAGCACATCATTACGTTGCAGAATTGTGCTCAGCTGCATGCCTGGGACAAAGATCTGCTGAGAATAACGTCTTTAAGGCTTCCCGTTATTCCAGTAAGGTTTTGCCTTTCCATAGCTCATTTCCCTGTGGGCTGTGCTGAGCATTATCTGTTAGTGATCCTCTGCATCCACAGGAGAGAACTCATTCACTTGTGCTCAGGGTGCAACAGGTATGAACTTCAAATGACTGATGGAACTGTGCTGAGTTTTCAGGGCTCAGTGACTCTTGGAAATGGGAAAATGAGACACTTGTGCCTCTAGATAGGGAAGAGAGTGCCTGTTTCCCATCCACTGCCAGCTTGAGGGGAAGGAAGGAAGGGGTGAGGAAGGGGAAGAATTGAGCAGACATTTTGGGTGGCCGTTGTCCCTTGCCCTGGATACGTGCTGGCAGCAGGGCTCGACTGTCACAGTAAATGGCAAAACCTCCATTGCACAGAGTTGGCTCCTTCTGGAATTTCTCGAGGACATTTACTTGCCCGGTGGGTGAGAGGGATTCATACTGTCAGATATGTATTTGTAAGCTTGCTTTTGAGCCTTTTTTTAAGTCAGTTTAGGCTTCCAATAATCATGAGGTGAATAGACCTGATTTAGTGTTTATTTCCAGTGTTATTACTTGCAAAACAGTAAAAATCAAGATGTGGTTATTGAAGAGTAGAAATTATATTGTCAGATTAGGTGCAGCAAGCTAGCATGAAGGTTAAGACGTTCTCCATAGCCCTCATACTGCAGTTGCTACTCAGTGATTACTACAGCTTGGAACAGGAGTATGGCTTTCATGCTTCCCAGCTGCAGAAGATGCATCCTGCTGGTAGAATTGCTTTGGAGAATTAAGAAAGGATGGTGCAGTAATGTCCGTTTGCTTCTCTGCAGTTGTTCAGTTGAACAAAAGACTCGAACAAAGGGTTAAATCTTTAATATGACTGAGCACACAAGTTGTGATTCCTGTTGTTGGTATCTCTTTCTGCCAGCCAAGTCAGCAAGCTCTATCTTTGTGGGATCTTTTGGGAAGAACTCAATATCCTGTACCTGCTCTTTCATTATTGTGCTTCCTCCAGCTGGTTCTTGCTGACAGGGGAGGCCATGTTGCATCTATCTGCATAAACAAAACCTTTCTTAATTCACTAAGGTGAATGTTGTGGGATAGGGTGGTTTGAAACCGTAGGTGATAATTCTGCCTCCCGAGACTGCCGTGCCCTTGGGAAGGAGGAGCACATGTGTGGCTGACAGATCTCTGGTGGCAGCTGAGGAGCTGCCTATTTTGCACTGGTTTTGGGCTGCTTGTACTAAAAGAAATGATCCACCCTTGGAGTTCTGCTCTGTGTCCCCAGGTTTGACTTGCTGATAGGGGCAGCTTCTACAGCTGCTGGTAGAATGTGACTCGCTCAGAGGGAAGAAACATCTATCCCTGCTTCCTCTCCCAAAGTGCTGCATGTGGTCACTGTACCACGTGAATCCACAGTGTGTTTTGTGTTAGAAGTAGGGATGCACTTGAGTTCTTGAGTTAGGGGAAGTGATCCTGTCTAGGGGGGGACTGGATTGGCTTCGTGTGTACATGTGCCTAAAGAGTACTTCCTCATCCACTGATTTTCAAACCAAAGCAATCGCTGTGCCCTCTGGCTATGCTCCGAACCTCTGCCAGTTCCTGCCATCCCTTCAGACAGCTGCTGTGACACAGCCTGATAAAAACCCACCTTCCTAGTGCTGGAGCAGAAAGGTTTTCCAAAGTGAAGTGGGATGTTTTAAAGAAAGAGAGGGCCTTGCAACAAAGTTTACACCAAAATACCCTCTCTTGGCCTTAATCTTCCTTTGACCTGGTATCAGGTAGATTTTGAACCAGGCTACATGATGGCTTTGCACGTAGACCAAATCTAATTTCCCTGTCTTAAGCAGCTGCTACTATTTTTATCATTCATACAGCACCAGCCTTCATGCATACTAAGTGCTGGCCCCGTTCCAGCTGTATTCCTAAGCAATCCCGTAACACTCCTCCCAGTTTTATTTGAATGCAGCATTTCCCAGGCCTCACTCTGCAGTCTCCTGCCAGCTCTCATGCACTGGGGAAGAGCTGCTGCCCTTCACTTCAGAGGTGGCTCTTTTTTGGCAGGAGGTGAAGCAGGCGCGTGACCTCCCTCACTCTGCCGGCGATGGTGATGTGAGCTTTAATTAGCTAACTTTGGGAATTACAGATGCAGATTTGGGTTGATGGTGTTAGTAATGGGGGAAGACATTGTTTAAAGGGCAAATCTAGAAGGTAGGCCAGAGCTTTCCAATTGCTTTTTCTGGGAACTGCATCATTAACCTTAAAAAAACCTACTGAAACACCTGAACTTTTCCAGTGCTGTGTGATAGGAATCTCAGTATCTGCTGCTGTGTATCAGTCTAGTTTCTCCTGAGTTACTTGTTAAGTCTACCACACAGGTATGCCTACCACAAGGGTGTTCTTTTGCACTGGTAATATAAGAATAATTTTAAGCATATCCAGAAACTATTAGTCCCATGAGCCTTCTGACACTTTGTTCTTTAAAAGATGTGATAGCTCAGCTGATGCCACCATTAATTTTGTTACAAATGGGAGGGTGGTGATGATAAGGACTGGGAAACACGCCAGTTCTCAGAGAAAGGTTTACCTGTCTAATAAATTCCTGGGTTAGGATAGAGGGAGAAAAGGAAGGAGAGAAGAAAATTGTAAGAACACCTAGAGTGAAGGAGACTGTTTGGGATAGTGCTGAGATGAGCAGACAGTGCCAGAGTCCTGCCTTTGGGGGTTGATTCAGGTAAGCGAGGCCTTGGCATCCTCACAAAAACTGTTCTCTGGGCTGTGTGTTCTGGTTATCCATGCTGGAGGGCTGGCCAAGCAGTTGTGCTCCCTGAGTCCTTGGAGGCACATGCTCATGTTCTGCTCGACTCAGCTGATCTCTTTGATTATTTTCCCGGATTAGAAATTTAACTTCCATGTGCGTTGCCTGGGGGAAGATACAAGAAAAATCTTTCAATGAACAGGAAGAAAATACTCTTCAGTCATTGTTATGCATGAACATTAGGAATAGCAGTTGTCTTTCTGCTTTCCTTTAGGCCAACCCAGGTGCCATTCAGGTGATGTTTCCACCTCAGAAAGGTGGTGTGTTTCAGTGGTGTGGCAGAAGAGGGCTTGCTGGGAAGACCATTAGTGCTTTTGAGGATGAAATGTGTTACGGAAACCGAGACCAGTGATGTCTGTATTCTGGACTGCTGCTACCACATGAAAGCATACTTCTGTGTACTCAGACAACCAACCTGGAAGGTGCTAATTCCTTCCCAGATTGGTTCTTGTGACCATGAGTCCTGACTCACATCTAAGGGTCTAATCTGTCTGAACCAGTGTAGTGTAGCTGGAGGGAGCCACAAATCCAACTCCAGTGCTGTTATTCTGTGTTTTCTTCACTCTGACCCTGTAAATCGGTGGTCCTTGCTGAGCTGGAGGTCACTGTTGGTCTCTGTCAGTGGGCTGCAGGTCTTGCACAGTATGATGTTGAAAATAAAACAAACTTGGGACACAGTACTCTGTGCTTTTGAAGGATCACTGCAGTCAATGAGACATGGTACTGGTGCCTGCTGCCTGGCCATGCTTTTTGAGCACGTTGGGTGTTTTATTGTCCTGCTGTGTTGCTTGTCACAGCAGAGCAGTGCATCCCTCTGAGTGCTGCAGGGCTGCCAGCACTAAATGGTGAATATCTGTGTGTATTCCTTGGGTGAGGGAGGAGCTGGATGAGCCCCCTGGGGTTATCCTTCATTGCTCTCCCAAAATCTCAAGTAATTCAGTCCGTTCCGTCTCTTTCAGCAGCAAAAGCAAATGAAGGTGCTGTTTGTAAATAAGTTTATTGTAGTCCACTGGTGCTGGAAATACTGACATGTAGAAGCTCTCCCAGATGCTAATCAAGGACCCAGCTCAAATGAGTGACCTGCATACAAATCCCACAGTCCTTACGTATTTCAGACACCAGCTCTTCAGATCCCATTCGAATCCCAGCGCAAGGCAGCGTG